TTATTTTAAGAGTCTATTTTGAAATTTGGCACTGTCTACACAGTGCCAAATTTCAAAATAACCCGCTATTCTGAAACGTTCTTTTACTCCTCATGGAATGAGGTTTACAGGGACGTCAGACTAGCGCAGTGTAGACGTAGCCTCAGAGAACACCAGCACATAGAGATGGCCAATCCCTGCCCTAGATCATGCCCCCATCCTGGGGTGACGCAGGAGCTGATAGATCTCCTGACAGAAAGAATTCTTAAATTGCTGACTACACCAGAATTACAGCTGCTTTGAACTGGAGCATCACAAAGCAGGCTTGGAACAAAGCAGGATCTGGCCCAGTGGATTTAACTCCTATATGGCTCTAGTAAAGAATGCGCTATAGGGAGAGCCTCTATGCACTGAGGCTTGGAGAGGAAGAATTCTGCCCTCACTTTGCTTGCATATTCTGATGCTTACAACAAGAGCAACCAATGTTCCTTCCTTTTAAACAGTGTGTGTGTGTGTGTGTGTGTGTGTGTGTGTGTGTGTGTGTGTGTGTGTGTGTGTGTGTGTGTCTGTGTGACCTAAAACAAACACAATACTGTTAAAATACATAAATGCCCTTTAAAAATAATAGAAAACACTATTTGGAATCTTAGTTTTGTAGTTCTATTTTCAGACATCTGTTCCAATCTCTTGGAGCCTCACACGCTGCCAAAGAAAAGGTGGGACATCGGTGGCAACCTTTAAGCATATGGTATAGAGCATCCTAGGGTGCCGCTGTTCCGTGGAATGTGCCTTCACTAAGAAGTCATCAGAGACAATTATAATATGACATTTATCACAGAGAGTGAAGATGGAAAGAGCCTATTAGATCATCTAGTCCATCTTCCTGCCAGTGCACAGTTGTTGGCTGCATGATCTCATAGCTCCTTTCATCCAGAACAATGATGGTGATAATTAGTATTTAAACAGCATTTTCATTCATTCCAAAGTGCTTTACAAGCATTAACTAATGCTCCCAGCAGCCCTGGGAAGTGGATAATGTGAACCACTTTGGAGATGGGAAACTTGGGGCACAAGTGATGGTGAGTCAAACACGATTGTGCAAATGAATCTGTGTCAGACTCAGGAAGATGGTTCTATTGTCATTTGAGTTACAATCACACCTAAGGTCCAGCTAACATTATGGCCTCATTGTTCTAGGCTCTAGTACACACAGGAAGAGAGAGTCCCTAACCTAAGGACAGTACAAGGAGATAGAATCTTGTCATGTTGCAAATGGTTATAAAATGGATCCAGTCCTTTAAAAAAATTGGAAGAAATCCAGTCATAGTCTAAAGGCAGCCCCTATTCCTCTACCATTAGTTCACCATCATCCTATATTTGCTGCTCCTTTGTCCCTTTTATCTGACTCTTCGAAGCCAGCTTGTTTCCTTGATGCTGCCTGTATAGCTTACTGAGATTCAAATATATATAGTTAAAGGAGGCAGGGATAAAATTCCCAGTACAAAATGAAGAATAATCAATTTACTGCGAAGGATACAAGCCTCCAGCTCTGGAAGACTAAGCCATTATGCACATTTTGTATATTTCAGTTTTTCTAACAATTAGATAGCAACATTGGTAGAAAGTCAGCCTGGAGAAAAACCTTGCTGTCAGTGCATCAAGCTTTCTAAGAATCTGGAGACAGCTTCCTACTGCTTATTAAGCACCACTGTAACGCAATTCAGATCAGAGCTGCAACATTCCAAAACTTTTTTTATTATTATTATTCAGTGGTATGCCTGCTCCGGAAGAAACCAGTTTATAAATTCAGAAGGTTTCCAATAGATTTTTGTCACCTGGATGACTAAAAGCAATAAATATCAAATAATGCTGTGATGACACTGAAGTATGCTCCCTTTGCCATTAGCACGAGCAACTGCTGAGCCCAAGAGCTTGGCTGATGTTAGACAGTTATTCTGGTTTCCCAAATGAAAGGCACAGACTTTTTTTCTGTGTTTTCACCATCCATACACAAGGTCATTTCAACTGAAGGAAAAGAGGGAAGAGACAGGATAAACTCCTGTAATCCTTCACCTGAGACCGATTTCAGTGTGCACCACAGGTAGGAGAAACAAGAGTGTAGACAGCAGGCATCTATACATAAAGCTTCCATGATATTTTACCTTTTTCTTTATTACACTTTTGTGTTGTGTAAGTTTCATTTGCTGGTGGTATTAAGCATGTTCTGGAAATATTTTCAGCTATTAACCTAACTATATGGCTGCTCTTACTATAGTATATCACAATTTTTGGTTTATTTATCCCCACAACACTCTTTGGCAGTCCAAGTACTCTAACTAACCTCTATTTTATAGCTGGGAAGCTGAGGTACAAAGACTGAATGAATTGCTCAGGCTCACACAGCAAGTCTGCGGCAGAGCAGTGGAATTAAATCTGGTTTCTCAGGTCCCATGCTAGTGCTTTGCTCAGTGGACTGTCCTTGTTCCCTCTCTTTACCGCATGTTAAATTGTATTGTGTAAATGGAAACTCTTTAATCCTATACCCTGCAAAGTAACAGCAAGCAAAATAGGAAAGTCGGTCAAGTGTATCTGACGTGTGGCTAACTCCTCCTGTCAGGTGTTCACATCATTTCCAAGCAGTAAAAATAATTGCCAATTATTTGAGACCACTAATTTCTGGGCTGCTTCAGTGCTCTCACTAGTATTTTATCATACTTGTGAGTTACGTGAATAGTCGTTCAAACTAATAAACTCTAATTTCAAATTACAAGAAAATCTGAGGTGACTGCTCTGTGTTGACTGTTAGAACACAGAAACTTGAACCCAGGGACTTAAATCTAGACCCAGATTTTGGTCAGCCACTACTCATGAATTTCAGTTGTGTGGCTCTGATACCAGTCACCAGAATGAAGTCATGGGACCTTGTAAAAGAACAGGATTTGGAATGCCTTCCCCAAACGGCTGTGTTCACGATCCCCCTGCTCGTTATTTTCTCACACAGGAGGAGTTTTAATCTTAAATTTTATGATTTGTGGTTGGTATCTAGTTTGGCACTTCATAAAATTACTTGCTCATGTAACACAAATCATAGAACTGGAAAGAACCTCAAGAGGTCATCAAATCTAGTCCCCTGCACTCATGGCAGGACCAAGCACCATCTAGACCATCCCTGACAAGTGTTGGTCTAATCTACTCTTAAAAAATCTCCAATGATGAAGATTTTACAACCTTCCTAGGCAATTTATTCCAGTTCTTAACAACCCTGACAGAAAGTTTTTCTAGTGTCCAACCTAAACTTCCCTTGTTGCAATTTAAATTCATTGCTTCCTGTCCTGTCATCAGAGAACAATACTTCTCCTTCCTCCTTGTAACAACCTTTTAGATACTTTAAAGCTGTTATCATGTCTCCTCTCAGGATACGGCTACACTGTTGGCTTTTTTTTAAGAAAGTATGCAAATTGCTCTTGTATTTGCATATCTTCCTCCAATGTTTTTTCCAGAAGAGGATTTTCTGATATTTGGCCTGTCTATATGGGGCCAAATGTCGGAGAAAAACCCTCTTTCAGAAGCCCCCTTATTCCACATTTTCTGTTATTGTTTTTCTCTCTTTATTGAGTCATGGGCCTACCTCATCCTTTGTCTTGCTGTTGGCAGCTGCTCACTTGACAGCATTAGTTACAGGAAGTTTATTACGCCGGCATTTAGCAGCCGTACAGACGCTTTATTTGCTTATAGATACAATCTGTGGTGGTGACTTCAGCCTACAAGGCTTGGATCCTGACTGACTGAGAAATCAGTGATCTCCACTACATGTACACACTATTTCAGGATTTAAGATCAGTGAGTGCTCTCAAGCTAAGTGCGTCTACCTTGCAAACATAAGAAGGCTCATTGACTTTTTCCAACCCATCTTGCTGGAATTTGTTGACCATTAAAACAGTGTGCAAAGAGCCTTAAGGCTGTCTACAAGCTGAGGGTTAAGTAGGTAGACAGATATGTGTGTAACTTTGTTTAGAGTAGGGAGGAATTGCTTGCAATTGTTTGGATTCTGCTAAGGGCTACTCCCTGACATTGATAAAATTGGTTTCCACTCCTTTGTTGCATTCCATAAGTCTGGGGGCTTTAACTTTGTGGGTGTTCACTGTCCAACTGGGTACTTTTGCTAGAAGAGAGAACCCAAGAAACAGTAAAGAAGAATTGTGACAGAAAGCATTCTTGCACGTTTTACCACAGCCCAGCTAGAACATTGATCTTAAAATGAAATGGTGCCATTTCAGGTAACATTGCTATGGATCTTCTGACAGATGCACGGTACTTGGACTGAGGAGATTATAGCCATAAATCATACATCTGACACAGATTCTAGGTATAGCCTTGAACACATCCCTTAATCTTCCTTTGCCTCAGTTCCCCTTCTGGGAAATGGCAAGGATAATACTTCCCTCCCTCAAAAGGGATAATTACATTTTGCATGTGCTGTGTGCTTGATGGGGGCCACCGAAGTACCTACCTAGATACTACTGTGGAAACTGACAGAAAAATTGTATTTGGTATTTCGTTAGGGGTTTTTTAATAGATATTTCAGTGGTTTGTATTGCATATTTGATGCCCTAAAGATACAATGCCATGATGATGTCTCATTTAGGACAGAACAATTCAGGTTTTACTTGAACCCAGAACAGAAACTGTTCGAGACCAAATTGCCTCAGATATCAATACCAATCCCTATGAGTAGGATTTTGTGATTCTGTAGTGTTTTGTGATTCTATAGTGTTTCTGTAAAGAAAACCAAATTACTGAAATTTCACTATCAAAGCCATGTCACTTAAATTTCCCCAGTGCTTTACATCAGCAACCAGTATAGGAACTTATTGAGCAAGGAATCAGACCAACACTGAAATCTTACATTTTTGTAAGGAGTCCAGTTACTAAGACTAGAATCAGTGCATGATGTTTTCTGACTGATAAATTGCAAGTTCTGTTTATTTTAATTAATATTGCACTAATTTCTCCCCTTTTAGTGGCTGCATCAACTGCTAATTCTACGGCTGGGGCGGCCATGAATTCGTTGACTTCTCTGGGTACTCTGCAAGGATTGGCTGGAGCCACTGTTGGATTGAATAATATTAATGCACTAGCAGGTACCGTAAACAGTGAGTATTTATTGCTGTGGTGGACAGCCTTTCCCATTAATCACCATAGGAAAACTATCAATTGCAAACAGATTGTTACTTTTTATAAATATGCAAAACAGTGGGTAAAGTTGATCAGCTTCCATTTGTGGCACAGATAGAGTCCTGGAGTCTTAAATTTTCACTAATCTTGCCCTCTGAGGTGGATTCTGTTGAGTTCCTGAAAAAAAAAGACTCATTTTCTTGCAGGATATATGGAATTTTAATACCTGTGCTAGATAGTCAGAATGGATTCTGGTGATCGGTTTTGGTTATATGAAAGGCTCCATTTGATTTCAGAAACCACAAACATAAATTTGTTAAAACAGTTACAGCACATCAGCACAAGATATAATTCAAGAATTTAGATTATTAAGAAACACCCATTTGCTGCTTTTTCTGTTAGTTACAGAGACAGAATAGGATACCTTCTTTGACCTGGGAGCAGCATATTTGCTTAAAAATTAAAATCAATTTTTTGGTTTTTAATTTGCAAGTATGTGACAATGGCTCAGTCATCTGTAGTACAAAAGCATGTAGATTTCTCCCATGTGGTATAAAACTAGCACTGACATTTCTAGTTAAAAGGATGTCAGTCGTGAATCAGAAACTTCATCCTCATTATCCACCACAGTAGCCAATCACAATCAAGCTTCTCCTAAAGAACAATGATCTCTTCTGTTTCTGTTACAATTACTTCACTTTTGCTTTCATTGGAGGAGATTCATCTGGCTGCATCTTTCCCCTCCTGCCTAGCTTTTTACAGCTCTTGCTATTCCTTGCATCTGCCCTATAATGCAAGGAATCTATTTGGTCACCACCAGTCTCTAGTTCATTACCCATCCTAGCATACCCTTAGGAATGGATGTCCTCCTCAGTATCACTTGCTCACTTTGAAGCTATCTGCATGATGTTCTTTTTGTCACTGTTATCTAGCTGCTCATTCAGTCATTTTGTGATGTGGCCTCTGGTTGTTATTGATGGGAGTTTGGGGGTGGAGAGGGTTCATTGATGTCCATGAACTTGTGGTGAGAGTTTGCATGGGGCTCTGTGTAGAACAGGTCTTGCTTCTGGCAAGGACACAAATACTAGTGAACCAAACAAAACCCTTCAAAGTGTAAGTATGGTTCAAGGGCAGTGTAGCAAAAGTAAGCCAATCCAGAAATGCCCCTGGTTGAATTTTGAAGCAACATATGCTTTTGTTTCTCTCAAAACACGCCACTGAAAATAGTATTCATGAAAAATCTGGTTTCATGAATTATATCAACGATGTCTAAGGAGTCACTGTGTGCTAATGTTAATATTCTTTTTCCTAGTAAATACTCAATGTATGTTAGGTGGGGCATATAAGATTGAAGCATCAAGGGTAGAGTGTGACTTGCCACCCCTTTTCATAACTACTAAGCAGCCACAATGGCACCCTTGGAAACTTAACATCCCTTCACCAAGATTGGTCCATCTTCGTAAATCACCTGTGTGGTTTCAGCTCTTGTGGGAATCATACTATCACCCATTTAGCAATTCTTGCTAGATTGCGGATGATGGCTTCTGATTTTCTTAGCTGGCATTTTCAAATGATATGAATGCAAATCCCATTTGCATGTGACAGCTGAAGAATTACTGACATATTCGCAACCAAGGACCAATTTGACTCCCATGGACTCAGACCAGGGTGGATTTGGTCCAAAATCTCCTTATTTGTGAATGTTTCTGCAGATAGCATGGAGACTGTGTGCACATGGAATATGTGTATGTGTGAGAGAAAAATGTTTTGCAGCAAGACACAGAAAGGGCACTGCTTTCTCATATACTATGATGTGAATAACACCTCTTTCTCTCTTGAGAAATACTATGACATGATTATCAGCCTCTGGTACTTGTAGCAAAGGTAGTTAATCCTTTGTGGACTGTAACTAGAGGCATCCCCTGTCTGTATTAACAATGTGCTTCTTCTAGGCCCAGGTATGCTACCACTAACCATTTCTCATTCAGTTGTTTCTACTCTAACCTGTCATGGAGCATGTAGTCATAAAAATTTGGTTTGGAACTAATATTCCCACCAGTCTTTTCCATCTGTGTGTGGAATAAATTTTATGTGCACTCAGGCATGTGTGAATGTGCACCACCTGTAAAAAAAAACCTAGCTGTGGGTGCTCCGCTAATCAGCTGGGTGGCTTCTAAGTGGCTGCACAAATGCATAGCTTATAGGCACCACTATTTGGAACTCTCTTTGTCCCATGGAAGGGCTATAACAGGATTGATATAATGGGATACAGAATCACCAGCCAGTGAAACCAAGCTCTCAGTCATGTGATCTGGTAAAATTGCCCATAAAACCAATGATACATGCTTGGGCCAAAGCTACATACAGACCGTGGATGAATTAGAAAAAGGCACTCAAGACAAATGCAGATTTGATCATTTAGTTACACAAATGGTTGAGGTCATAGTCATTGAAAGGAGACAGGTTTGAGAAGTGGAATCTGATGAGGCCAGTGGTGAGAAGCAGTTTTACAGGAACTGCAACTGAAGTGCACCCAGCTACAACCAATCCCTAAGTGACTTTCCTTCAGTGAAGCTTCTCTTCTGGAAGATTCAACAACTAGGAAGGGCCAAAATGGTCTTGGGATTAAGAAAGAAAATGGAGAAGATGGAAATCTGAATACTATTGCTTGCTCTGACTTTTCACGCAATCCTGGGAAAAGTCATTTTTCCTTTCTGTCTCTGTTTCCTTATCTGCAAAACAGAGATAATGGCATTGATCTACCTCACAGGTGCACAGAGAAACTTTAATGTACTAATGTTTGTACAGCTATTTAAGATTATTTGACAGAGGGCAGTGGAACGGCTAAGGATTATCATTTATTATTTTAGGACCCTACCAAATTCATGATCCATTTTAGCCAATTTCACAGTCATGGGATTTTAAAAACCATACGTTTTATGATTTTGGCTATTTAAATCTGAAATGTCATGGTACTGTAATTTTAGAGGTCTTTGACCCATACAGGAGTTGTGTGTGGAGAGGGGTTTACCACAAAGTTATTGTAGGGAGTGGTGGTAGTGCTACTCTTAACATCTGTGCTGCTGACAGCAACGCTTCCTTCAGAGCTGAGCAACTGGACAGCGGTAGCTGCTGGCTGTGAACCCAGCTCTGAAGGCAAAGTTGCTGCCAACAGCAGCACAGAAGCATAGATGACATGGCATGGTATTGCACCCTTATTTCTGTGCTGCTGTCTACAAAGCTTGGCCCACAGTCAGTAGCTGCCACTCTCTGGCCACCCAGCTGTGAAGGCAGCAGTACAGAAGTAAGGGTAGCATGGTATGGTTTTACCACCCTTACTTTTGCTCTAGTGCTAGTGAGGCTCTGTCTTCGGAGCGAGGTATGGGTGCCTGTTTAACAGCTGCCACTCTCCAGCTACTCAAATCTGAAGGCAGTGCAGAAGTAAGAGTGGCAATACTGTGACGTACACTCCCTAAAATAACCATGGGCAACTTCCTTTGGGGTCAGGGCTCTCAATCTGAGAAATGCTGGTCTTCTCTGTGAAATCTGTATAGTACCCAGGAAAAGCACACAAAAGACCAGATTTCACAGGGGCAAACCAGATTTTATAGTCTCTAAAGTATTTTTTATGGCTGTGAATTTGGTAGGGTCCTAATTATTTTTATTCATCACTTTGGACAATTCAAGACAGCTGAAAGCAGCTTGTGTTTTGCAGAGTGCAAAACAAATGGAGGTACATTTGTAGAACTATGTGGAAAAGCTTACGTTGGGCCTGTCTATACATCGCTTAATACAAGCCAGTGCTATTATGCCCTAGTAAATTTCATAAAAACAATGAAAGAGCAAACTACATAATTTTAAGGATCAGAGACCTTTCTGCAGATCTTTGTTGCTCAAGGTGGAAAATATATTTAGTCATGTCTATTATAGTGAAGGTAGTAAAGTCCTTCCCAGTAGCAGTACCATCAGACAGGGCTTTCTGTATAATGATCTGAAGTAGTAGAGACTGGGGGTTTACACAAAGAGACTTGCCAAGAGCAGAGTTGGGTAACACAGAAAAGGTTTTGCTAATGGGTTGATGACTCACAGAGGATAAAAGGGGGGGTTTAATAGTGTTTTTTTAATAGTTTCACTATCATGTTATTTCAATACTATGCAATAACATGCCAGTGACAAGAAGTGGTTTATCAGGGTCATTTAATTCAACCAATGTTGCAAACAGACACGCACACCCAAGCAATGGCGAAAAACAGTATCCAGCACTCTTGGTTGGGCTGCAGTAAAGTTTCAGTATCAACCCCATTATTTTGCCACTGCAGCTGCGCCGAGTCACCATTTTCAAAGTATTTTCAGTATTTTTACACTTATTCAGCTCCATTTAAAAAAAACAACAACATTTTTGTGATAGGGTAGGTTGGCATCAACCATGGCAGTCTCTTTTCCTCCCTGTGCCGCCCACCCAGTTCTAGAACTTCCAAGTGCATGGCATTTAATTAAGCAGGGACTTGCAGAATATCACATCTCTGTCAAGTGTTAACGTTGCACGAATGATACAAATATCAAAGGGTATAATTTGTACAGTAGTATCCTCTTAATTGGCACAGAGTATTTTGCTAGGATTATATACATTAGAGATGGAAAGGAACTTATTAAGGCATGCTCTTCATCCTTCTGTCAGTGCAAGATTGCTCCCTGCCGTATGCTTTCTAATGCCAGTCCATTTTTAAATTAATCATATAATAGGGTTTCCACCACTTCCCATGGAGAAGACTGTTGCACAGTCTAATAGATGTAATGGTTAATTTTTTCAGGACAGTTACCATAAATTGTGCACCGCTTACCTTCCTGACCTTTCTCCTACATATGTACACCCTTTCTAACACTTCCAGTAATCCATTTTTCCCTTCTTTTGGGTTTGCCATCTTTGGTAATTAACATATCCCCACCTTAGCTAGCATTTTGCCAAGCTATTATCTCTGCATCATAGCCTACATTTTGAACAGTAACTAGTGATTTTGGATGTTTCCATATTTAAGTGCTCACACTGGAAACACCCTGAAGAAGGGGTCAAATGTAAAATTAATTGACAAACTTCATTCATGTGGTAGTAATTTCCAGGCACTGATTTACCTAGTTTGGATGGGAACTATGTGTTGCAGTGAATACTCTGCCCCTTGGCCAATCCCACAAGTTATCCAACCTTGGTCAAGTAGATTCCTTCCTATAGCCTCAAGATCCTGTAGCCCAATGTGTGTGTTGTGGGGCACATGGAAGAATAGGATTTCCGAGGCACCGTGTTACAGTACTTGCCAGTAGCAGCTTGCATGTCGATAGATTTGGTCGTCAAACCCATTGTGCTGCAGTGATCTTCACTGACGTTGTGTTTGGTTGTTTGCAGTTCCATTTGGTGAAGTGCTGACTTGCATGCACGGCCGTCGTTGTCGGTGTCATGTAAATGCAACGACTTTTGGGAAGCACTAATGAACGAGTGCAATTTCTTTTCTCTATTGTTGGGTTTTTTGTAAAGTTGCTCAAATGCTCTCAGGTATGGCGGCCCTGAACGGAGGACTTGGCGCCACAGGCTTGACGAATGGTACAGCAGGCACAATGGACGCCCTCACCCAAGCCTACTCAGGAATCCAGCAGTATGCCGCAGCAGCACTGCCAACATTGTACAGTCAGAGTTTGTTACAGCAACAAAGTGCTGCTGGCAGCCAGAAAGAAGGTAAGCGGCACCTGCTAGGGCCTCCCAGAAAACCTCTTAAGCAGCTATATCAAATTTTACCATACGCTAAATTCGGCCTTTCGACATTGGTTGGGATTGGTTTATTTCTTCATATATGCTTTCTGAAGAAATGGGTTGAGCCTAACCATTGATTTTTAACCTTTTCTTCTTTCCTGTTCAGTGTTGTTTTTGTTTGGTCCTTTAATTTAATTTTTTTGCCATCTATCCTTCAAGATGTATTTTACCACCCATTGTTCGTTAATGTCAAAGTGCGCATTGGCTGCTTCTCACAAAAGACACTAATCATGAAAACCATCCTAAAAGCCCTTTTTTTAAAAAAAAGTATATATTTGTTGTTGGGAGGTCAAGTGGGGGGAAGAGGTGTGCAGGTAATTCTCCTCTTCCCTCTCCTCCTGTGGTTTCCATGTATGCTGTGATCATCTAGCTACTATTAGATTTTAGTTTTCAAGTTAATGGCAAGATCCACTGTTACATGGAGTGGTCCTTTGTTTAACTCTGGGACTTAAGGGGAAGCAAGTCAGTGAGTGATGCCCCTCTTTCTGTACCAACAGAGCAAAATAAACCTCAGGAAGTTAATGCTAAGAATAAATTAATACCAATTACAAACCATTTAACAAAATGAAGATAGACTTTCTCTCTTCTCTGCCCCTGCAGCCTTCTTGGGATTTTGTTTTTAATGCCTCCTCCTCCCTTAACTTTCAGCTAATTTTACAACAGAAAAGTTTTGTGTGCCTTCTAAAGAAAGAGTCTTCATTGTAGTTACTGTTCTTGCCAGAGATTCACTGGAACAAGGACTAGTGAATGGCATCAAAAGAATTTTTTATCCTTTTTTTAAAAGTCTCTTGAATCGTTATGGAACATGGCATCTCATAAGTAGACAATGTTGAAACCCTCAAAGCTAGAGATTTAATAGGGATGCTATCAAGTTAAAATAAGTATGTGTTTTATAATTTCTTTACCATTTTTACTATTAACCTTTAGATTACTGAAAATGAAATTGAATTCATTTACTTTTCTCACTGTTTCTGCTCTGTGGCTTTGTTTGATATTTTTTATCTGTGTTTCATTCAGTTTGAATAATGAAAATAGATTGGATAAAACCATAAACAGAACCTGTTTCTCTGTTGTGACTGGGTGGCAAATAAGTGTAGGGCTGGCTTATTTTTTTAAACTCTTCATTGCTTTAAATACACAAAAGCATTTCCATCAATAGTAAGTTTATCATTCCCCATGTGACAGTGTCCCTTATAAAGTACAGGCCTTTGTCATCTTGCTGTCTTTTCCAGTGGGGGACTGTTAAGGTGAGCGAGTTTCATTATTAAATTCTGCTTGCTTTGTTTGTGTTTCAACATATAACTTCTTATACAATAGCCAGACTGAAATATTTAAAGGGGGATAACCAGATACCAAAGGAAAACAGTGCATTGAATGTTAAACAAAATAGGGTGACTTTTTATGCATCGTGCTATCGATTTTTGTTAAGCCAGTTTTGCTCAGAGATTAAGAAATATCATTTTGTTGAGGTCATTTTTCTTTTTGTAAGAAGAAACTTCATTTTGACTTCTCTTCCATAGTTCCAGGTTACTTTTTTTTTCCCATTTCATTTTATAAAAATCTTTTTTTTTTTTACCCTGTTGTTTTGTTGTTAGTTTTTGTTTTGTTTGCTTCCAATCCATGCACCCCTGTCTAGGGCAAATATTGCAGCCCCTTCCCTCAGGCTGTGAGAGGCCAGGCAGTGTGGTTCCTCTATTGTGAACATCAGTGCGGCTCCATGAATCTGTTACCGAAGGTATTCCATAAGTGTCTGGCCTGCGCTTTCCTCTCCTCCCCTAGACAGTAATCAAACACAGCGTATCTGAGACACATGTAGGCCTTGTCTATACTTGCCTGGAAGATTGAATTAAGATACGCAACTCCAGCTGCATTAATTACAAAGCTGGAGTCAAAGTACCTTAATTCGACCTTTGGTGCTGTCTCCACAGCGGGAGGTCAGTTAGAGCAGGAGTTTCAGCGTCGATAGGGGCGCCCTCAGAGTTCAGTTTATTGGTTCTAATAAAGACTAAATCAAACTCCAGAAGATCGACCGGTAGTGAAGATGTGACCATAGTCTCAACTCAAGCCAGAGACTATCCATTTAGTCTACTCCAGAACCTGCCTGCACCAGCATTGTGTGGCATTTTTGACTCCCAGTCATACTGTATGACTGGGAAGGCTACATGTCCAGTTTCATACTGGAAAGCCTTTCTCTACTCTCTTCTTTCCAAATGATTATGGTAATGGGGGAGCAGGGTTGACGGTGAGAAACCACTGACTCTAGTGCTCAGTGAAAAAAAATCCAGTTTTATTTCAGTGAACAGGCTTTCAAAAATCAAAGCAAAACGCAGTGTATGTGGGGGGGAGAATCCAGTTAAAAACAAAATGAATATTTTCGTTTGAAATGTCTCAAAATTCAGAACGTTTTTCTAAAACACTTCAGTTTCAAGGAAAATGCATTTGTGTAGTTGCGGGGGGGAAAACAGTTCTAAACCGTGACCAGCTCTTTTTCTGCCAGGTAGTGAGGGCTTTCCACCCAGCTTCTTTGTTACTGCAAATTAGTTATTTGCAAAGAAAATCAGCTAGCTCAGTTTGCAAGTCAGAAGGTTTGTTTTGTTACTTTCCTCTCCCCTACAATTGCCTGTCCTGGAGACTTAAACCTGGGATCTTTATAATTGAGCTGGTCTCTTTCTCCTGTGCTAATAATGTCTCTGCAACCAGAATTTAGCTGACAAACCCACTGAAGGTGTGTGAGGAAGCATAGAACTCAACTTGTTCTCCCATAGCTGCACAGCTTAAAGAGATGCAGAGAGCAGAATTGTCGTAAGAAGGTGCCACTTTCATGCACTCGCTCTTCTAACCATAGCCGTGCTTTTGGACACGTTTGGCAGCCTTACATGAGTTTAGGAAGGAGGATGTAGTTCAGCTGCTCTTATAATAGAGATATCAAGTAAAAATATATAAAAGAGGCACTGCTATTTTGTCCATCTGCTTTGTTTTCGTTACCTCAGAAAGTCTGAAACTGAACTGTTTTCCCGTCACCTTCTAAATGACCAACGAAGATAAATGAAATAACTCTTCTAATAGCTTTTTTCATACTTTTTTTAATTGGTTTTCCTCTCTCTAAAGGTCCAGAAGGGGCAAACCTCTTTATTTACCACCTCCCCCAGGAATTTGGAGACCAGGACATTCTGCAGATGTTCATGCCCTTTGGGAATGTTATTTCTGCTAAAGTCTTCATTGACAAACAGACCAATCTGAGCAAGTGCTTTGGTAAGCAACATTCACTCAATTGGTGAACACTGTGAACCTGATCCCAGCATTACGACTTGTATTCCTCAAAAGCACAGAAAGAGGCACAGACAAAGCCGCTCAAACCAAAAACTGGATTTGCAAAAATCCTTCCACTCTGACATGTACTGTGGATGTGTCAAGTACATGAAACTAATTATACCCTGTGTGGGGGAATGTCATTTACTATACTATTAAGCTGCCTTATTATGGATACCTAATTATCCTCTATTGTATAGCCGAACCTCTTTAAAACTCACTGCATTTAACCCATTACTTGTACATTACAGGAAAAGCTTTCTTCTGGGTTAAGTACAGTATTGTTCAATTAGTGTTTTTATAGTGTACACATATGTAGCACAGAATTTGTTCCAGCTAGCTGCCTAGATGAGCATCTACAAATAAAAATATATTCAACTGTACAGGTAGCATCTTCAGTTGTAATGGGGCAGGGGATGAAGAAGAGTATAATCAGTGTCAAGTTTCATGTAAAATGCTTGAGACACAGGGAAATTAGATAACTAAGGAGCATACAAAGTAATTTGTATGATGCTTAAACCCTTCTGAAATGAAATAAGATCTAGGTTTGATCAGATGCAGACCTATTGCTTTGATATATTGCATTACAAAATGTAAGTAAGCAGCAATCTCTGCTTGCAGCATCAATGTAATAAGTTCATATATCAAGTAAATGATATGATCAGGATCTACGGTGGAGACAAAGCCTGCAAAAGAAGCTGGTTTTACATAACATATCACAGCCTCTGTGCCTTATTTAGAAGCATGTCCCTTTCATTTTTACATTTTTGGCAGCCAGTTTGTGGTTTCTTAATGTGAATTCTCTTTTTTCCCCTGAAAATGGAGATTGTCTGTCTCATTAATCTGTTTCTTTTGGGTCAGAATTGGGGATTGCACATGGAACAGAGCTATTTGGGATAACACCTTTTAATCTGAAGATCTTCAAGTATGAAAAAGGTGGGGGAAAGCCTGTTCTAGATGGAGACACTGAAGCTAAGGGACTCCTTTCAGGTCTCTTTCAGTGTATCACTGACAGAGTTGGGAACGTAACCCAGGTATACTGACTCTCAGTCCAGGGCTGTAACTTGATACATGCTACTTCCAAAAAAGAGTCCGCTTTTAGCAGATAGGTGGCCATAGGCACTAATTGCATTCTTGTTATCCATCTCAGCAGCGGCTCCAAGGTGTGAGGGGATGAGCCCTGCTCTTTCACCTCTAGAGCAGTCCCTCCAGGTCAGGGTTCTAATGGGGTAGTGTAAGGAAGTTTTCATAGCAGCAGCCTCGGCAGTGCCTGCTGTGTAGATGATCCAAAGGGTTTCAGTCTACAGGGCTGTTGATCCAGCAGCACAAAAGTGAGGTAGTCTGAAAGGAAGGAATTCTTATTATATAGGTTATTGTAGCACCCAAAGATAAAAATCAGGGTCAACTAGGCCAAACTAGGAAGAGGAAATCCTTGCCCCTGAGAGCCTACAGTCTAAATTTAAGACAAGGGAGAACAAGCAGATGCAACAAGAGGAAGACAAAAATGAGGAGGTGGCTAGATTTCCATAAGTAGCATAAAAGAAACGGTTCTTAATGAGGGACTGGAAGGAGGACAGAATAGACTCATAGAACAATAGAACTGGAAGAGACCTCAAGGTCATCAGGTCCAGTCCACTACCCTCATGGGAGCACCAAGCATCATCTAGATCAGGGAGGCCAATGGTTTTTGAAGGGGGCCACTTCACAAATTTCTGAAGTGGTTGCAGGCTGCCCTGGAAGGAGCGGGGCCTCGGGGAGAAGGGGAGGGGCCAAGGAGGCTTCTCGTGCTCCCCCACCCACAGATCTTGATTTGCCTTGGGGCAGGGGGAGCGCGCTGAGGCTGTCTTGCCCACCCCTAGGATAAGGGATTCGGGTGCAGGATGGCCTGTGAGGTCTGGGAAGGAGTTTGTGTGAAAGAGGCAGTTCTTCTGCCTGGGGCACGGGATTGGGGTGCAGGGCTTTGGGTTGTGACCTAGAGCAGGGAACTGGGGTGCAGGAGGAAGTGCAGAGGTTTAGGTTGTGACCTAGGGCAGGAGACTGAGGTGCAGGGATTTGGGCTGTGACCTAAGGCAGGAGATTACAGTGCAGAAGGGGATTGTAGTCTGGGACAAGGGATTGGGGTACAAGGTCTGGATGGGGTATGGACTCAGGAGGGGCAGAGGGTTTGGCTTTTGTGGGGTAGGGGCTAGGAGTGGTAGGGGCAGAGGACTGAGGGGGGAGGCAAGGGCAGGGGTGCCAGAGGCAGGCTCTGAAAGGGAGACTTACCTGTGAGACTCCCCGCCAGCAGCCCAGCATGTTTCTCAGGCAGGAGCCTGCCCTGCGCCTGCACAGGCTGCAGGGCCATGTGCTCTGTGAATAAGAGCTTGAGGGGAGGGGTGACTGGTGCTTTGGGTGCTGCCTGTTTTCAAGCAGGCAGTTTCCATTGGCCAGCAATGGGATTGTGCTGGGGGTGGGAGCATCCATGAAGCACCACTCCACCCTCCCCTCTGGACTCACAGTTTGTGAAATGCAAATGGCCTGACAGCCACTTTTCTGACTCGTGTGTGGGGGTGGAGCAAGCATGAGAGTCTCTGTGGTCCAGATCCAGTGGCTTGGTGGGCCGGATCCAGCCCACAGAGGCTGTTTTGCCAGGCCTGATCTAGATCATCCCTAGTGACTTGACAGTCTAGTTTGGGTAAACTGTTCCACCATTGGAGCAGAAGGCAGTAATTGGAAAGAGCATGTGGGAGAGGTGAATAAATGATTGAGCAAGGCTAGCTTCACTGACCAAACAGAGTGAAGGGGGCTGGATCTATGTGACACAATGCAAGAATGGATAAGCAGGAGAGTCCAAGGTGGGGGAGAGCCCTCTAAATTTAAGGACAAGAAATTTGAATCTGATGTGGTGGAGAAAAGGAAGCCAGTGAAGGGACACACAATGAGAGAGGCAATTTGGTGACCAGGAAGGTGATCTAAGCAGCTGAATTTTTAATTAACTTGAGAAGGAAAAGTGAGCGTCAGGAAGGCCAGAGAGAAGGAATTTCAATAATGAAAACACAAGAGGGGTGGCTCTAAATGAGCATTTTATCTATGTGAACAAAAGCTGGAGATGATGAAGGGGTTAGCCGAGGAGTGCAGGCGAAAAACCTCAGTGTCAATGCCAGGGAAGAAGGAAAAGAGGGTGATGAGTAAGCGAGGGATCCACGCTTTAATCTAATCTAAAATAATTCATTAAGACAATTTCAAGTGGAAATTAAAGAGAGCATGTCAAAGTAGATACATAATACCAGGCTGCAATGCAGTAATTAGCTAGAGCAGAGGTAGAGTGGGAGTCAGGAGTGCTGTGCAATTAAGAGTGGGAGGCCCAGATATGAAAATGAGTTGCAGTTTCTAAGCTCAAGGGGATTAGAGTGCATTATGAAAAGAGCTCCTTTGGTCTCTAGGGGACAAGAAATGTAGACCCAACTAGCCATACTGAGTACAGGCAGAGAACATTACCTAGGGCTCAGTGCAGAGAACTGGAAGGCAGAAAAAACTGGGGTTCTATTCCCCGCTTTGCTATTGACCTGTGATTTAACCTGTATATTTGCCTGCTCCAATTCCAAGGCTCTCACAATTAATTAATTAAGGTATGCATTGTACATTGGAGGCCTGAGAGGACAGGGGCTATAGAAGTGCAAAGTATCAAAATTATTATTAGAGACATGGGTAACGCATGTTTAATTCCTGCTCTGCGACAGATATCATTTGTGACTTAAAATAAATCATTTATTAAGCCATGTTTATACTAAACGGAGGCTCGACATTGCGGAGATTGATCTTCCGTCGTTCGATTTGGCAGATCTAGTAAGGACCCGCTAAATCAAAAACGGAGGGTGTCCCCATTGATTCTGGTTCTCCTTGCAGTCATGAGGCATTAGGGAAGTCTATGGGAGTGTTTTTTCTGTCAACCTCCCTCTGTGGGGATCCCGAAGAAATTTGTCTTATGGTAAGTCAATTCCAGCTACGTTGTTTATGTAGCTGGAGTTGCATATCTTAAGCCAAACTTCTGGTTTAGTATAGACCTGCCCTTAGCTTCTCAGCACCTGGGGACATAGGACTTCCCTATCTACAGGTGTGTTATGAAGATGCATACATTAAAAATTGAGACACTGCAGTTGTGGGGGATCATCTAAGTACCAGAGAGTGAGAAACTGTCCTGCCCCTTGTCATACAGCTCACAGACACCACAGCTGTTTGGTTGCAGTCCCAGCTGCATGTGTAAGGCGGCAAAATGCTGAACCCCAACAAGATGAGGGGAGAGCTGGGATGGATTTGGAGGAATGGAATATGAAGGAAAGTAGTGAAATGAACGTGTCACTTAGAAGAAACAAAACTTTTTTTCTGTACACTGAACGAGTCCCCCCTTCTTTTGTTTCTAACCTCTAGTGCACTTTCTTTCTACCTCTGTTTCATGTTTTGTAGGTTTTGTTAGCTATGACAATCCAGTCTCTGCGCAAGCTGCTATCCAGGCTATGAACGGCTTTCAGATTGGCATGAAACGCTTGAAGGTTCAGCTGAAACGCTCCAAAAACGACAGCAAACCTTACTGATCTTAACCCCAGATGCTCACTGATCTTATTTTAGCTTTCTTAGGGTAAGTCCCATGAGCAAACCTGCCCTTCTGCGGGGGGAGGGGGGTCTAAGGAAGAACACATTGCCAACCTTCACCAAGAGACAATTATTTTTACAGTTATTGCTTCCATTTCCCCACTCGTCATAATTTAACTTGGCTGCTGTTTCCAAGCCAAGTAATTACTGAGTTGTGTTACTGTATTTTATTTTGCAACATAATTTATCTCCATTTTCTTTTTCTTTTTTTTTAAAGAAATTACATCTTAAGAATAAAAGTTTCAAAAAAGGTGCAATTTAACTCTGTGAACCCTGATGCCATTAGCACACATGGGGGAAATAAAAGCTGTTTTGTATGTATGGACCCAATCTTATCAGGGTGGCACCAGCAGTTGATAGGTTAAACATAATGGTCTTATGCCAGCAGAAGCACTTATTGTGAGACAATGACAACAAAAAGTCTTTCCGCTACGTCATTTTGTTTTTGAAAAGGATTTTTATTTTTATTTTTAGGGTTCAAATCAACATGATTTTCTATTAGTCTGTTATTACACTGGTCTTTATATTTCACTTTTTTTTTAAGTTTTCTTTAGGTTTTTGGAAAGGAATAATGTAAAAAAGATTTAGAGATCTGTTTCTAAAGCTACAGGGTTTAAAATAAAAATAAAATAAAATGAGTGACAATACTTGATGTTTCTTGAGAGATAAATTTAATAATAATAAATAAAAAGAAAGCCACAGGCCTGTAAATTTTATTTGTAAAAAGCATTTCTATTTTTATACAAAAATTTTTACTGCCTCAGAAATAATGGAAGTTATTTATTGCCTATTGTTAACTTATTGGATACCTAAAGAGCAGCTCTCTATGCTAGCTAGATCCTTTGAAGTAGTCTCTAGAGTAATTGTGCCAAGAATGGGCGCTTTTTCACCGTTGAACCCTATACTCTTTACAGTTCATGCTTTTATCCTCTTGTTTGTACTTGTCTGGTTATTTTGTTTGTAGTTTCCATTTTCTAGTTTAAAGTTCAGTTGTCTGACTTTTTTCTTCCCCCCTTCCCCTTATGTTACATTTGTTGAAAATGGTTCTTTCCTCTCTCCTCCCCCAAAGATGAATCCATCTTCTCTAACTCTTTTCAGATGGATTCTTTTGGGGTTTCATTGTGCTGCCTTTGATGAGTATTGTAAGTTAATGCAAATTATGTGAATGGCACATAGACTCTAATGATGAAAGATTTGCATTAGTTTTCTCCTGCACCCATAAAAGTGATTTTGTTTCTGCTGCATAGATTCTATGTAACTTTTTTCCTCTTCCTTGTTTTTTCCCTAGACATCTCCATGCCCGTTAGTTCATCGTTTGCCTAGCATGTCCCTGTGGCGTCTAAAAAAAAAAGTTTCATCGTCCCGTCATTGTTTCTGATGTCTTTCTGACCTCACATCATATTTGGTTCTCCTACTGACCTTTGATCTAGTTTGACCTTTGAAATTTGCATGTGACCTCATCTAGCTATGAATTTTGGGAAGTCAATGTGAAAAAACATTGCTGCATTCACGCAAGACTGAAATTTATTATTAGACAAATTAATAATAGGGTTTAAAATGAAAAAACAAAAAAATATAAAAAAAAAAAACCTGTGGCAAAAATGTTTTCGCTTGCTTTCTTTTTTTTTCTTTCTTTCTTTTTCTCTTTTTTTCCTTTTCCAAAAAATAAATAAATAAAATAAAATAACAGACTTGAAAGTATTATACAGGGATTGGCATTCTGCCTGGTCACTGGTGACAATAGCAATATGTGTCCAGAGGCACAGAATGTTGGTTTCTAACAGACTACTTCCAAAACAGTTTGAGAAAAAAAACTGTCTGATTTTAAGTCTCTAGAAGTCTGTAATAGTTTTTACATTTTTCAGGCAGTGTAAAGTTTTTTGATAAGGCCATTTTAGGTGGCTCACTTTCTCATTAAAATATATATATAGAACCACTTTTTGTAGATTAGTATAAGAAAATATTTACCCTGTTTTAGGGCAAATGCTACCTATTTGTGTCACCTTTTGCTGAACTGACTCACAGTTAGACAATCCATGGTTTAATGCACATGAAATTACTATATTTTATACTGTTTCAATGTACAGGAGAAAGGTTACTGTAAACTGTGTTACGTTGGTGCTTCTGTGAATTAAGTTGTGGTTTCATCATGAGTCTTATGGTCTTAAGTGTTCTGTGTTTATAAAAGACAAGTTTAAAATTGGTTTACTTGAACAACAACAACAAAAATGAGTTTAAAAAAAGTTGTTTGCTTAAAAAATTTCATGTGAAAAATTAAAAAATATTCCAGAATAAGTTTGTGTTGGCTTGTGACGCATTGATGTCATTTTTTTATTGTGGACAATTTAGATGTGTTTGTGTTCAGCAAAATGTGATCGGTTTTTCTTTTAAAGGAAAAAAATCAGTGAAAATATAGTGCCAAATTCCAAAGGTACTTTCTTCCTAGAGCTTCAGTGTGTTTCTTGTGTGAAGTAATTTGATAACATGGGTATTTTATTATGTGTTTTGTATAAATCCCTAATATTTAAAGAAAAAAGAGGTTAAAAAGTTTGTTAACTTGCTATCCTGTGGTCTTGTTGCCTGAAATTGTTATTGTTTGTTATTTCTCTTTGATGTTTTTTGTAAAACATTGTATAAGTGCCCATGTTTCACTTTTTTAACCACTCTGCACATCAATGCTGTGAAAGCAAACCTCACAATGTATTTTCTTCATAATGTATGGAAACCTCTAAGGTGAGAAAGTTTTGAACTTTTAACCCTTTCCACCCAGAGCTGTCTTGAGTGTTAATACCTTTTATACATTCACCATTTTGCTGTTTATTTTTATATATATATCTATATATATAAATATATATATATATACTTATTTTTTTGTGGTTTATTTAATACATGGTTGAAATCAGAAAAATGCACAGGGCAGATCTGAAGGACAAAAAATAATTTTACTGCTGTCTAAATTTCTTCTGTATCTATAACTAAAATTATTTAAAACAGTAATTAACTTGTGGTTTTCCTTTTTAGATTTTGGGTTTTTTGTCTTTTCTTAAAGAGCTTTTAATATGCTGCTGGAATATGCTATTCAGTATTAATAAAATAAAAGAAAATAAAAAACAATTCTTTAATTATCTATTGTGTGAGCCGCTCCCAGACAGGAGTGGTTATTCCACCATTTGAAAACATTGAGGAGAAAAAACAATATTTTTGTAACTAAATAAATGAACTTTTGCTTAAATCAGATGCACTAGATCTTCCTGGGTGAAAATTCAATGTGCACTGCAGTTAAACTACTTTTTATGGATAAAGTTTACATATGCTGTAATGCTTGGTGTTATTTGCCATTATTCGTAATGACAATATATGGGCCCAATCCTACAGACACTCACCCAAGTAACTTGACTTGCACCAGTAGCCAATGAGACTTGTATGTATATCTATGTGACTTAAGTGGTTGTTTGCTGGATTGAGCCCTGTGTAAGGAACCTGAAAAGAAATGCTGGTAGCCTTTTCACTGCCTTTTAAATTTGACTGGATTGCATGTCTACAGCACAAGTAGCCACCAGTGACCAAATTTGGTTCTTTACTACTGGAAAATAGAATCCATTGCCAATTCAATGCATGTGAGCAGCAGTACCTGCTTCTGATAACAAAGTGCCATATCTTCTTCCATTATCTATTCCTATTTTGTTACATTCAACACCTCCTAAAATTAAAAGTGAAGCCCTATATGAACAGCGACATAGATGGTGCACTCTGTCTCTTGTTCCTAACTTTGCTTCAATGCTTGTTTATGTAGAAGCCCTGGGATGGAAAGGAATAGCCTCTAGTGATGCAAAAAAGTTTCCTCCTTGTAGCACGTGCACTTATACCTAAATGGTCTATATTAGTCTCACATGTTTTTACTACTGCTGAGGCCTTCTTACACCCTTTGAGGGCTATTTTGTACGTCTTGCAGCAATTTTGCTTATTCAAAGTATCATCACACATATTATATATATATATATATATATATATATATATATATATATATTATATGAAAATATAATTGTTTTTTTTTCTCTTTCTCTCTTTC